AGCCCGACCCCGAAATGTGTATAAATAACATTTTCAGTCGAGAGAGCCATGCAATACAAACGACACCCTATTGCACACGCTGAGGTCCCTGCATTCAAAATTTAGCGCCTGGACAAACATGGGTCTGGTAGATACCCCAACAACTTATTTAGTCGTTTTCAAGTTCTACTTATCGGTCCACGCATCTCCGGACTATTGTTCCTAAACAGCCTTGTTTTCCAACATGCTCACCGGAAACCCTAGAATATCTGGAACACCAATGCAGTTGAATATCACTTCGGTCAACGAAGAAGCAGATAGCAAATCATCAGTAATTTAACTAAATATAAAACAGTCAAAGGAAGGTTTCACTTTTGAAGCGGAGGATGCATATATCGTTAACAAGCGGCCGAAGACGGTGTCTATACCCTCATCTGAAATGAACCGCTGGTCATATCTACAAAATGACCATTTCGATGAAATCTCAAGCTTAGGGATAGGGATAGGAAGCCTCATCGGTTTTGGATTTAAGTTTACCACCAAATGTTTGCAAACTTGGAGTGTATACCTCAAGAACTGCTTTGGTTTAAGTCCCGTTAAACCTGTGGGGGCATCTGAGCGCATGCTGAGTTACGTGCAACCCACCAGACGAAATTAGCTTGTTCTTGANTCTTGAGATTTATTTGACTCCAGAACAATAGCAAATAACAACGCAGAGATTACAAATTGCATAGGCAACACACTTCAAGTCCTGTGGTGTATTAGCCAGTTGGCGAATCACCAAAATAAGCTTGCTCGACAAACTCTGTTTTCATTCAATGTGTGCTGTTGGTATATTTCGGAAAAGAAAAATGAAAGACAAACGTCTTTCATGAATAATGGAAATGAAAATGAGTTGGAAATGTTTGTGATAACTGATAAAGAACACTGAACAGCTGTTTCGTCTTGTTAGGGAATCGTCAGCAATGCGTAATTTTTGTGTCACTGTTCCATCGTACTTGAATGCATTTACTTCGTGTGGAATTAACGATCCCCCAACGAATGAAACCCACATCCAAGACCATCAAGAGTGCCTGGTGTCTCTGAACGATCGAATGGGCTAAACCAAGCTTGATACTCGAAATGAATTCTCCATGGAATGCGAAAATAAGATAATTTGGCAAACTTGTGCTTGCCGAAAAATTGTATGTGAAATATTAAAAATTTGATAGATCCAGTCAGCAGTTTTCACTTTAATTCTTATTTGCTTCAAGGTTACTTGTGATTAGTAGCTCGGGCAAATCGATATTCAATTGTACAGACCATCCTCCAGACATTCACATTTTAGTTGCAGAGTGAGCGTGGTACAGTAGCAACCCAACCGCTCATCGACCGTCCTGTCAAATGACGCGTTTGTCCTTGCTTCTTATTGTTTGGTATTTGCGTTTGCGCTTGTTTGCTTGTTCAACCAATGGGAATTGGTTGAACAAGCATCGATTCTCATTCTGTTCACACCACACTGTGTCTACTATCGGCTTTGGAGTGTGATTGATTGTCTCCTATTAGTCCATTTTGTTGGACTTACCTGATTTTGACCACAGTACGATAGCGAAAACCAAAGTAAACAACATAATAGCATAGATAGGCGATCTGATCAAAAGGAACAATTCATTTTGCAAATAAAACACAATAAGC